TTTATACATTTATCAACTAAGGGAAATTTAGGTTGTTTCTATTTTTTGGCTATTATGAATAATGCTATGAACGCGTGTACAAGTTTTTGCGTGCACATACATTTTAATTTCCCTTGGTATATACCTACGAGTGCAATTGCTGGGTCGTTATGGTAACTTTTTGAGGAATTGCCTAACTGTTTTCCAAAGGAGCTGTACCATTTTACATTCCCACCAGCAGTGTATGAGGATTCCAATTTCTCTACATTCTTGCCAACCCTTGTTATTACTTGTCTTTTTGATTACAGCTATCCTAATGGGTGTGAAGTGGTTATGGTTTTGATTTGCATTTCTCTTTTGGCTAATGATTTGGTTAGCAGCTGAACTCTTAACAACTATGCTACCAGGGCTCCGTATTTTCTTTGGAGAAATGTGTATGCAGATCCTTTGCACATCTTTTAATTGGGTTGTCTATTTCATTTGTCTACAAATGCTTTTTATAAATTTTTTTCAAACCGTGAACTAACTAATGGCCATTTATTGAATATAATTCAATGACTACTGTATATTTCTTTAATCTCTTTTAATACAGAACTTTAATTTTTTTAAAGACATTGACTAAAGTGACCAGGCCAATTGTTTTACTGCTGTTGTTGTGTACCATCGAGTCGATTCTGACTCACAGCGACTCTATAGGACAGAGTAGAACTGCTCCACAGGGTTTCCTAGGCTGTAATCTTTACTAGAGCAGATCATCAGGTCTTTCCTCCCATGGAGCAGCTGGGGGGTTCAAACACTGACCTTTAGGTTAGCAGCTAAGCGCTTAACCATTGAGCCACTCTGTTTCATAGAGTTCATATTCTACATTTGTCTGACTGTGGCATAGTTTAATGTGTTCCTCTAACCGGTATTTTCAGAAAACTAGAAGTTATGCATAAAGGTTTCATTGGATCAGGTCAAACACTTTGGCAAGAATTCTTCATGGGTGATGCTGTATAATTTAGCTTGTCTCATACTTGGTAATGCTAAATTTGACTGCCTGGTTAAGATGGTGACCACCAGATTTCTCCACTGCAAAATTTTAAAAGCAACTGGTCAATTTCTATAGAAATGCCTTTAGGATTTTGACTGGGACTACATTCAATTCATAGATAAATTTCCAGGAATAGGCACTGTAATAACAGAGTCTTCTAGATGATGAAAATATCTTCATTTATTTAGGTTTTCTTTTATTAAGCTTACTTCTAAGGTTTTTAAGCTTCTTGGTGTTCCTATAAAAGGAATTGAAAAAAATTTGTTTCCAATTGTTTGCTCCTAGTAGTATAATAATTAATTTTTATATACTGACCCTTGTACTTCATGACCCTGCTATATTCATTTCTTTGTCATAGTGGTTTTTCAAATAGATAATTTAGGATTTTCTACATAAACAACCATTTCTTTTGCAAATAAGGGCAGCTTTACTTCCTTCTTTGCAATCTTTATGTCTTTTACTTCTGTTTCTTGACTTATTATTATCCTGGTTAGGACAACTATTATTTAATTGAGTAAAAATAGTGGGAACAAATATCCTTACCTTGTACCAGTCTCATGGGGGAAGCTTTCAATATTTAATTTGATGATGGCTCGAGGTTTTTTGTAGATGTCACTCACCAGAAAGAAGTTACCTTTGATCCTAATTTGCTAATAGATTTTTTTAAAAAATCAATGAATTAATATTCTTTAGGTGGAAACTTAGATAACTGGTTTTAAACCTTTTTTCCTCTAAACTGTTTTAGTGGCAGTCCACAAATTTGGATACGTTGTATTTTTATCATCATTCAGTTAAAAATATTCTCTATATGGGTGATGGCTGGACATGATTAATAAAACTGACATCATTAAATTGTACACCTGAAAAATGTTGAACTGGCAAATGCTGTATTATATATATTTACAACAATTAAAAAAAGTGATTACATCAAACCTAATGTGCTCATTCTAAAAAAAGTTTTTAAAAATATTTTCCTTGTGATTTCTTCTTTGCTCCACAGGTTATTGACAAGTATGCTGTACAGTTTTGAATATCTGAGTTTTCCAGATACCTGTTATTTCTACTTTACATAGTCTGTATGTTTCTAATTCTTTGTAATTTACTGAGACTTGTTTTATGGCCCAGAATATTGTATAAACTTGATGAACAGAATACAGTGTATAATATATATTATAAAATATACACTCCATGTTTGTTGAATAAGTGTTCTAAAAATGTCTGTTTGCTTACTTTTTGGTGGTAATTGTTCCATCAATTTTTGAGAGAGAGGTGTTAAAATCTCTAATCATGATTGTGGATCTATATATTTCTCCTTTTATTTTTAAAAGTTTTTGCTTAATGTATTTTGAAGTTCTGTTATCAGGTACATGTACACTTACGATTGTCTTCCTGATGAACTGACCCTTTTATTATATCCCTGTTTAGCACTAGTAATACTCTTTGTTTTATAGTTTACTTTGTACGATCTTAACATAAGCCACACTGGCTTTTTTATACTTACTACTGCTTGTTTAGTGTATCTTTTCTCATCTTTTTACTTTCAACCTCTCTGTGTCTTTATCTTTAAAGCATATCTCTTGTATTTAGTATGTAGTTGCGTTTTGCTTTTTCATCCAGCCTGACAAGCTTGCCCTTTTAATTGGAGTGTTTAGTCCCATTTATTTATGACATAATTAAATATTTAAACAATTATTGCTATGATGGAGCTTTGGTCTATGTCCCATATGTTTTTTTCCCTCTGTTCCTACTTTTCTGCCATCTTGTGGGTTAATCCAATAATTTTTAGTATTGCTTTCTAATTTCTCTATGATATTCTTAGCTCTAGCTCTTTGTACATTTTTTTTAGTAGCTGCTGTATTGATTATGATATGTATCTTTAACTTATCATAGTTTACTTTTATTGGATCACTTAACATAAAATGGAAGAACTTTTCATTAGTATAATTTCATTTACTCACTCTATCCTTCATGCTACTGCTGTCATGTATTTTACAAATGTTACTTGGAATTGGGGTTCGGATATGGCTATTTAGTCCTTGTGAATGACTGGAGCTATAATACCTGGCAGCTGGTAGGGATACAGTATGAGTCTGTAGAGATTGTCATGGATTGAATTATGGCTCCCCAAAGCGTATGTATCAATTTGGCTGGGCCATGATTCCCAGTATTGTGTGACTTTCCTATATGTTGTAAATCCTGCCTCTGTGATGTTAATAAGGGAGGATGGGTGGCAGTTGTATTAGTGAGGCAGGACTCAATCTACAAGATTCGATTGTGTCCTGAGGCAATCTCTTGAGATATAAAAGACAGAAGTGGGCAGAGAGACAGGGGGACCTCATACCACCAAGAAAGCAGTGCCAGGTGCAGAGTGCATCCTTTGGACCCAGGGTCCCTGTGCGAAGTTCCTAGTCTGGGGGAACATGGATAAGAAGGTCAATGGAGAGAGAAAGCCTTCCCCTGGAGCTGACACCCTGAATTTGGATTTTCAGCCTACTTTACTGTGAGGAAATAAACTTCTCTTTGTTAAAGCCATCCACTCGTGGTATTTCAGTTATAGCAGCACTAGATGACTAAGGCAGAGATAAAGAAGAATGAAGCAGACACAAGGAAAAATTGCAGGTACAAAAAAAGGACACTTAATTTCTATCCTAGTCCCCGCCTAGAATTTGGCTTCCTTCCTTCCCTTGGCTCAAGCCAGATCAAATTGGTTTCTGATATATGTAACCAAAAGAACCTTGACTACAGCTCCCTTCCCTTAAATGGGTAAGTGACAGCTTTCAGTAGAAATTCTGGTAATTTTAGAATTAGAAGATCACAATAGTATTCTAGAGCTAGTAGACTCTGCAGAGATTATTTCTTTCTCTCTCTTTATTTTACAGATGAATAAACCAAATTTAGAAAAATGAAATGCCATTTCAAAGGTCATTTAACTAGCCTGTGGCAGAGTTGGGATCTGTTTTCCTAATTGTTCTTTACTCTTTTATTGTGACTTCTTACATGGCTGGAGAGTCAATCTATAACATTAGCAATAATGTACCATGAGAAAAATATCACTGACATTTTGGAAGGAGACACAAACATCTGAACATATCATAATGCAATAACTTTGCTGTTTTTCACAATACTCACATCCTCTCACATCAGATGTTCCCAGTTTTACAAAGAAGATTCCATTTGAGAGATTAGCGGTTTGGAACACAGAATACATTTCCCCACAAAGTAGTGTTATGGTCCCAGGTGGTCATGGTCCCAAGTTGGCTCCTGTAAAACCTATTTAACCCACAACGTAACAATTCTGAGGGACTTCTGAGGGAAAACATACTCTGGAATGTGTACCAAAAGCAGAAGTGCCAAGAAGTAGCTGGTGATCTTAGTTAAGTCATTTAATTTCTCTGAATTCAGCTACTTTTAAAAAAAATATAGTGATTACTAACAGTATATCTGGTAACTCGAAGAACTGGGGTACACATTTTAATCCATTACTGCATTCAAACCTTAAAACAACTCAGTGAAGTAGGTGTTATTACTCCTATCCTGAGGTGGAAAAATCGTGACTTAGAGGGCCCAGTGTATATCTGCCTGCCTTTAAAGGTCCTACACTCACCTATCAATCCAGTAGTCCTCAACCTGCATTCCGTGGGTGGGCTCTGAAGTCTTGTGAATACCCTCATCATTCTGTGTGCGTGTGGATATACAGCATCTTTTACTAAGGTGAGAGATTCCATAGCTTTCATAAGATACTAAAAAGGCATCTATACAAGCTAAAAGAGGTTAAGAACCACTGTACTTTAATGAAACTTGTACTGGTCCATAGAGAACAGTAATATCTATCAACTGTGGATCAATACATCAATATCTCCTCTGTATAGTATCAATGTATGTAGAGTCAACTGTATTTCAATAACATTAACTTAATTAATTAAAAACCAATGAATCCGTGAAGACAACCTGGAGTTATGCTTATTCAAAGGAGGAATCTAGTACTTACCTAGAAACAGAACAATTAATAGGACTATAATAGTAAGGAAAGCCTTGTTCCAAAAAGTTGCAATTTTACCCCAGACGTGAAATGAAAAAATCTTCTGCCATCTGTAAAGCAATACAATTACAACAGATGTAAAAAATCAAATGAAGTTTCTGTAATATTTACTAAATACTGAATTAACATTTTGGTAATTCTGTAGTGAGTGAAAAGAATTACAGAAATTTAATTTTTAAATTCCCACATAAGGATATCTCATGAAATAAAGAACAAGTCTTTCAAATTTAATAATAATCGACATTTGATTATCTTCTGTCCGGTGGCTTAAATATTCTGAGATAAAAATAATTTTTAAAGAAAATATATATGATCAAAGCCTTAAAAAGAAATTTTAATATTAAAATATTATATTATTGATAGAAACTATCACTTTATATCTTTTCCCTAGAAAAGATTTATTCCCTAAGAAATAACAAAGATCTATTGGTCTAACAACTAGTAACATTTTAGGGGTGGCATGCCCAATTTTCTTCTCTATGTATTTTTATATGGTACATTTTTAACATTTACAGCAATTAAAGAGTTTCTATACTTTCACCACCAGAGAATTAAAAAAAAATTATTAAAGTATTACATATATGCAGTAAAGTGCAACAATCTTAAATATGTAGCTTGATGAATTTTTACAAATGCATACACCACTAAGATCAGGATTTGAACATAGAGGAAATGAAACAAGGAAACAGTCTAGATGGATGCAACAGTGTAAGCAAAGACAAAGAGGTAAGAAAGCATGAGTTGTAGAGTTATAAATGGGAAAGAGTGACAGGGTAGGGCATCACACATCTGGAAAAAACACAAGGGCATTTTAAATGAATAACATGTTAACTAGTCCAAAGAAGACATATAACAGTAATAAGCACTTAAATTTACTTATAAGCTCTGAAATATTTTTTTAAAATTTAATTTAAACAAATTAAAGTTGATAAATTATTAACTAATGTTTTGAAATCAACTCTGTGATAACTTGAAGTTGGTGGGGAGAAGGAGACTGACAGATGAAGCAGTTCCTTTTGTCCCTGTGTTTCCAATTCCGAGCATTTTATACAAGGAGTTATTAAAATTCTACATCACAAAAGTTTTATCTTTAAAAAGATAGTGTAAGTGTAATGCCTTGATCTAAGGGTAAATTCACTTATTTTTTCAAGGATCAAATAAAAGGGAACACAAAAGAGACCCCCACCCAGAGACAATAACTAACAGTTTACAATAAGATTCAATTCAGTGAAGGGTTAATAATAGCTAATATTTATTGAGTTCTTACTGTTTTATTGTTCTAAGCTCTTTTACATGATTTAGCACATTTAATCCTAACAACTACCATAGCAGGAAGACACTAGTATTATCTTCATTTTACAGATAGGGAAACTGGTGCTGAGAAGATACGTAACTTTCCCAAGTTCACACAGTTAGCAACTTGCAGAGTTGGGATATAAACCCAGGCGATATGCGTATAATGGCGATATGCGTATAAAAAAATAAAAAGATGTGTGCACACACACATACAAGAAGGACATATTTTAAACATGAATGTGTGCACATATAAATTTTCTTATTTTGTACACAAGCGTATATTTACGCATGGTGTGTACATATACACACATCTATCAAATAGTTTAACTGACCAGGACAGGTAAAACACATTTTGCAGGAAGAAAAAGTCTGATCCATAATTTTTTGATCCTTCTGATGGAGAAAAGACCAATCAAGCAAAGATATTTTTTGTAATATCTTATTTTTAAATCAGATGTTTATAAATTTCTCTTGAATTTAGAATTTTATTGTTGTAAATATTAATGAAAAGCAAAGCCGAATATTTTTGAGGGTTCCAAAAATCAGCAAGAGAGGAAGGAGTTCTAGACTTATCTTGAATCTGCCACTGACCAGCTGGGTGACCTTATTTGGGGCACGTCCCTTCTCTGAGTCTCAGTAATCTCATCTAGGAAATGAGTGGGTTGGATAAAATAATCTCTAAGGACCCTTCTTACCCTATGATTCAATTTCTTTCTTTGGTAGGGATGAAAAAAAGTGATGATATAGATAAAGGCAGAAATGAATAGAAGTCCAGGTAGCTTAAGGAGTAAGTAAAGAGTTGTGAAAGACTATCTGGACCTTGTGCCAATGTAAAACTTTGCTAAGTCTCTTCCATTTACTACGCTTTAGTGGGTTATCTCAAGAATCTTCATTTATAAACAACTTTCCTTTATCCTATGAGAATGTACTAATGTTTTGTAACTTTTTCATTACACGTATATTTCACCATTCATCCTATCAAATTTCTGGATCTAAAACTGAACTGCTAATAGTGGTTAAGAGCTACAAGGCTGCTAACAAAAAAGGTCCGCAGTTGGTATCCACCAGCCGCTCCTTGGAAACCCTTTGGGGGCAGTTCTACCTTGTTCTATAGGATCTCTATGAGTTGGAATCGGCTGGACGGCAATGAGTTTGGTACAGGGGTAAAGTGAGTCAATGCTTGGATGGAAATATTTAGTACTCAGAAGATTCTTTACCAAGGAACTAACGCTAATTCGTGGTTCTGGTATTTTTCATATTCAGCACTTTTCACATACATTCATTAATTCTGTGTGGAATAAAAAGTAGTAAAATTACCATTAAACATTAATGAAAATACTTCTTGGTTACATGAACCCCAAACTAAGAACCATTCATTAGCTTAAGTTTCTAAGTTGCCACTTCACTATCCCCAATGAAACATTTTTTACAACCATCCTGTACTTTATATAAACATAATTTATCTGTTTACACTTAGTTCACTGCCCCAATGTAGGGGAATAAAACAAGGGTGACCAGACAGGTGTTTAAAGTATAACCATTGCTGTGTTATATCTGTAACCAACAGAACCAAAAGAACTAGTTCATCTACCTTTCAAAAAGGAAAAAAAGTTAATCGCTTGCATATATACTAAAAAGTTTAACCTAAAATGATACTTTAGTATTGTCATCATATATTACCTAATTTGTTTGCTAATTAGTTAATTTTTAAGAGCACCTTTTATGTAATCAGCTGTCAAAACTTACTAAATCTTAAGGAAACTTTTTCTCTATCATACTAAGCAGTCTAAAGCAGCTAATAAAATATTATTGTAACGAGTTGAAGGTTTCCTACCTCTGAGGAGGAATAAAGGGGAGACAGAAGATTAAAATGAGTCCTATTTCAGCATAAAGAAAGGTTGCAACTGCCACCCATTGGACTGTCATTTTGTTCTCTTCACACCTAAATAAACAGTTCTTTTACTTTGACGCTTTTCAAAGAAAACTGGGTTAAAGGCACTGGGGGCCCAAGGTTTTTGTCCTGGGGGTTTACCACGCCCACTTTCCCCTAGGTGGAGACGCCTGGCAGTAACCCAGGGCGGGAAGTGAAGGGAAGGGTTAAGGGTGGGCCGGGAAGCCCTGTCTCCACCTATCCCGCTAGCAGTGCTAAACTTAAAAGGCTCAGGGGACCTAGGACTTCCTTGTCGGCCAGCTTTGCGGCGACCGCAGCCTAACGCCTCCCTCCCCTAACGCCCGACGTCTTGGGGCCCTTTCGCCCCCCCGTAGACGCCAAGGGCCTTCCGCAGAGGCGTCGGGGGAGGGCCAGCTCCCGATGGTTATCTAGCAGAGGAGAGGGACTCGACCCCGCCAGGCGGGAGGAAACGAGTGGGGTTCTGTGCGGCCCAAGGCTCCCGCAGAGTTCCGCTGACTCGGGGCCCACGGCCCGAGGTCTCGCCCAGCCTTACCACGTCCGCAGCCAGCCCCGCTGCCGGCGCTGCTCCGCGGCGGCCGATGCGCCGGACGTCAGACGCCGAGGCGCGGGGGTGGGGGAGGGGCAGCCCCACCCCGCGGGTTCACGTCCCTGGTCTCAGCCGGGGGGGGGCGGTGCGGTCTCGACTGCGGGCGCAGGCGGCGCGGCCTCGTTTATTGGCAGTAATTCTTTTCTAATTGGTAGTGGAGTCGGAGCGTGACTCAGACTTTTACATTCGATCCGTGGTGCTCTCTAGCGCAACTTCTTTAGGAGAGCAGGCGTTAAATTTCTAACAGTGCTGTTTGGGTGGGTTTAACTGACGTTTTCTGAGTGAGCTTCACGGGGAGGAGGAAAGGCGCAGGGGCTGGAGGGTTAGATGGGATGGTGCAAATCCATTCCTTTCCTATTACATATGTCATTTTTGTATCTCTACAGTAGAAACCGTCATGAAAGACGACATAGAGACAGGCTGGGTTTGGGTGGTTCTGCAGTATTTTGTTTTTCTGAGAATGTAGGAGAATCTGTAGTCTCACAACTCTTGTTTCTGTTCTTGCCCATGAGTTGGGAGGACGCTAGTGGACTTCAAGATGATGTTTTGGAGACCAGTAAGGAAAACAGCGTGGGGTACGGCATATTATTTGAGTTACTGGTATCTTCCAGGTCTTCAAATTCTGTGAATACACTCAAAGTATTAAAACATTTTTTTCAATATTGACAACATAACAAGAATGCAGATAAATGTACTAACCTCCTGGAGACAATTTTGGGAACATTACATGTTGAAATACAAAGAATTGGAGAATATAAAAACATTTAAAGGGATGCTTTTTTTCATTTTATCACAAATATATTTGATTACATACATAAGAAAAAAGAGGACTTTGAATATAATCATACAAAATTTTCAAAAAAAATCAAACACGTTAGAACTCGTTGCCCTTCCACACTGGTTCCTTCAAAACACTGTGCACCTTACTCTAATGATGCTGCTATGCTCACTAGTATAATTAACTCTAGCGATAATTTACAAACATAAAAACGACTAAGCTTTGTCCATAGCTTCTTGTTTATATATTATTCATATTAAATGAAAAATCCAGTTTATTTTTAAAAATGCATCAACTGAAAAGTGAAAGCCCTGTGAATGTGCTTAAGAAAAACTAGGGCAGCACGGCGCTTATGTTAAGATTGATTCATTTAATATTCCAACTCTCGAATTAAGCAGTTTTAGGTAATTGTCTCATAACAGTTTTCATGTTGGTAATATAAAACAATATATTAATTATGGAATTGTTTTATTTCAACTGGGGATTCTTAATTCTTATAATGGCACATTGACTAATAACAAAATTCTATTAGTAACATTTCCAAATCGTGGAACTTTAAAGTTACAATTATTATCAATTGCTGGGAGGCACAAAAATAACATCACTAAAAGCAGGGTTTTAAAATTAAGTTTTTATATTACAAGTAAAACCTGGTTACTATTCTCCAGGAAATATTATTTCAAGTATATAATCATCTCCGGATTATCTACCAAACTTTCTTACTTAAAATGTGGGGACTGCAATTAACTTTAGCATTTCAGATATGGTTATATTTATCAAGCTCTCACTCTTTTAATAAAATGGAAAGCTTGAGATATAAAAATTTAATGTCATTTTAAGAGTTTCATGGAATCTTAGTTTTAAATCATAGAAAGCACCTTGTCTAATTAAATTCTGTTAACATTATAATTTAAAACAAACATCTTGAGGTTTGCAATTCAGTTAGGAAGTACCAGTTCGATTTTCCAATTTGAATTTTTAATCTAAGCCTTGATCGCAATCCTATACAGAATTTCTGTTCCTTTCCATTTTACATGGATGTTGGCATTTGTTATACCACTTTTCTGTACTTTTCATTAAAAATATACTTCTTGTTAATTTATAGATACCATGAGTCATATTTTCTCAATGTTAAAAGGTTTTATTCAAGAGGTTAGAAACATGATTTATGAAAATTTCCCCCTTTTTTTTCTATCCATAATAGGATTCAGAGCAGTGTTTGTCAATGTTTGGACCCAGGATGACCAGGATGTTTGAACTGGAGTCTTCTTTAAACTTACAAATTCCTGGGTCCACACCAGATCTACCTGAGGTGTACAGTCTCTGGAGTCTCTGGGTGGTGCAAATGGAGTCTAGGACTGATTTTTAAAAATGTTCTCCAGGGACTGTTTTTATACTAAAGTTTGAGAGCCATTGATTTAAAATAAAAACCAAGATTATGTGGTTTCGTTGTGAGTATAAAATGAAGTATCTATTAAAATAATTTAAGAAGGGGTCAAATGCCATAATGGTTTGTAAGGTAATCTAATACTGCTGATGTGCTTGACAAAGCATTAAATATTCTTTTTTCCTGCCTTGAAGTTATCTTTTCCATCATGTACATTAAATGCTGATGGAAACACATATAAGGAGTTCCGAGTTCAAGAGCAATGTCAACCCAGTCCCAGATGCATCTCAGTGGGGTTTCCTCATATCCATCAAACATGGCCGGGTTTGCTAAGAGTCCTCTTGCAACCATCACACCTAAAAATTAAAGCACACTATGTTTGTCCATACATGCAGAACCTCTGGTTATGTGGTCAAACTCTATGAAACAAACTGAGAATATATAAAAAAAATATGACATTATTATAAGGTTTCACAATACCCTTATTACATTAGTCTGTTTAACTCAATCATGATGTTTTTGTTAGTAGCCTTCAGTTGATTTTGTGTGCAGAGTAGAACTCCTCCATAGAATTTTCAATTACAAAACAATTTTTTGTACTTTTTGTAAACCAAGAAAGTTTAAATGTACTTATAGGAATTCTTTTTTAAAGACTTCTACATTAAACAATTAGTCCTTAGTTTTTTTAAGGGTAAATTGGACTTGCTTAAAGTTAAGTTTATCTGTGTTCCCCATCTATTGATAGCTACCCTAACTAAGGCTTGACATGCTAATAATTTAAGAGGATAATGAAACTTACACAGTAGGTCTGGGGTTCCTTTGGCTCTGATGATAACTTGCATTCATTAACTCTCATTTCTATTCTAGGTGCTCTATTTTCCTAATAGGCTATCTGGAAGATTCTTAATTGGTCACTGGATATCATGGTGGCAAGAAACTAACTGAATTAATTTACCCTATTAAACAATTTTATTGTTTCTAAGAAGTCTCTGGGTGGTGCAAATGGTTACCCTGATTGGCTGCTAACCAAAAGGTTGGCAGTTTGAGTCCCTTCAGAAGCCTGGCAATCTACTTCCAAAATATCAGCCATTGAAAACCCTATGGAGCGCAGTTCTACTCTGACATACATGGGGTCACCATGAATTGGAATCTACTCAACGTCATCTATTTTTTTAGTTATTGTTCCCAAGTAGAAGAGTTAATGCCATCTAATAAGTTGCTTAGTTTAAGTCAGTACAATCAGAAAATACGACTTAATGTTAAAGAAAAAGAATGAAAATCACATTAACATTACTCTCCCACCCCCGGTTGTTTTTTTTTTCTTTTTTTTTTTTTTGGCTAATTAAAAGACAAAAGCTCTAAGTACTCATTTCTTACCATTTGTCCCAGTAATTTGCCACACATTTTCTGCTTCTTTTAAGGTTCTGATGTCTCCATTAGCAATGACAGGTATAGACATATTTTCTTTAATTATTTTAATGGCATCATAGTGGACTGGCTGATGTCTTTCTTCAACAGTTCTTCCATGGACTGTAATCCAAGAAACTCCAGTTGCTTCGGCCTTTCGACAAAGATCTACAGTTCTCGTAAGGTCATCATGAATCCTATAGTTTCAAAATTATATCTATTTGTTCATAGCACACAAATCTTAAGGCTGCAATTAATAAACTAAATAAAATATTTCATCTAATACATTATTTAGTTAGCTTTGCTATATCATATTATCAATTCATGCCACTATCAGGTTTTGTTCAAGGATCGGTTCCCACTTAAGACCTCAAATTTAGCTGTTTCACTATTGGCAACAACAGGATGACAAATCAGTTTCACTGTACCTACTGCTCTATGCTTTTGGGTATACCAAAGTACTGTCACAGATGAATTAGATGCTATCCTGATATTTAAGGAGCTCTGGTGGCACAGTGGTTAAGTGTTTGGCTGCTAACTGAAAGGTTGGTGGTTGAAACGCACCAGCTGTTCCGCCAGAGAAAGATGTGGCAGTCTGCTTCTGTAAATATTTACAGCCTTGGAAACCCTATGGGGCAGTTCTACTTTGTACTATAGGGTTGTTATAGGTCAGAATTCGACAGCAAAGGATTTGGTATTTTTTATTCTGATATTTGCTATGCATGTCCCAATCCCCAAAAGCGAGTACAGAATACTTTATCCTGAAATGTTTTTAACCTGTCACCAAAAAACTGATTCCTGGAATATTTTATTTTCATTGGGCAATTTTAGTGCCTTTGTCTTTACTATATTCTACTCTTGGTACCAGGAATGTTTCTTAGTATTAATTAAATAGTACATGGAAAAACTGAGGGTTTCTTTTAGGTAAAGTTTTTAATAATAAAGGTATGTTTTAATATTTGTTAAAAATAAGAAGAGGAAATTGTTTTAGATTATAAATAAAAATTCTGCTATATTTTCATTTACTAAATGTCTTGCTTCAACGTTTCCATACACCAGTTACCAATTTATTTAGCTCCTACCACTTGAACAAAAGGAGTATTTTCTTATTTCCCTAAGTAATTAACTATCTTGTCAATAGATTAAAATATTGTCTTTACCTTATTTTAATAGATATTGAAAATCTGGGGTTTTCCACTTCATTTCTTACTTGTTTCACCATATCTTGAATAAGCTCTGGCTTATTTATTAAGCAAGCCCCATAACCTTCTGCCATTGCCCACCTTTATAAAGAGAAAACACATACACACACACACACACACACACACACACACACACACACACAACAGGATTTATAAATAGCTGGAAGAGAAGATAAAAATCTAAATGGAAGCATTGAAATATACTAAGTGCATCTACCTATATCTCTACCTAGTGATCTGGAATGGAAGCAGATTTTTGAAACTGATAGATCCAACATTTTGAAGTGGATCTGAGATTAGGAAAATATGTTCCCAGATCAAAACATACTTAGGGAAGTGGTTTTCACTGGAAAGTGAGAAAATTAAAATTCATCCAACCAAAATAGATTTAAGTATTTGTAATTAATTGCAATTACTTCAGATTTTCTTAATCCCAAATTTGATGTTTATTATACATAACAAGAGGTTTTATTAGTTTCAATAGTAGAAAGACATTTTTTGCTTACAGCTTATTAACTCTCCTAATGACTATACAACTATGTCTAATCTTATTTGGATTGTACTGTGCTTAAAATCTTGATTTTATTCTTTAGAAACATTTTAAATTACTGACAGATAACCTAGTACAGTGCCAGTAAGCTGGGGGTATTATTGTCAAATTAAGCACATTCTGTCAACATCCAGTTACTTAAATCTAACCAAATAACTGGAATAGAAAGAAAAGGTTATCATAAGAAAGTATTTTTATAAGGAAAATTAATTAGGAGAAAACGTGGTGATCTTCCAAATCAAAGAACCATAGTTTTTAGAGGAGGATTATCTGAAATGGCAGTAAAAATAAATTTTAGGGATTGCTGTAAACATTAGATTCTCAGAAGAATAGATGAAGTTCAAGGCAAATTCACACATAAAAATTATAGTGGTGAGGTAAGACAAAACACTTCAAGAGTCTGTACCCTGGCTCAGCCATCAGAAAAGACCTTTTCAGTTATGTTCCTAAATAATGTTTTCCTGCTTCTAATTTGGAGCCCTGGTGCTTTAACTCTCTTTTTCCTACTTTTTTAAGTTTTGGAAAACTAGAAAGATAGTTTACCATGTTCACATAGATTTTTTTCTAATCTTTTTGAAAATTCTTCAACTTCTTGAGCTTTACCTCTGAGGGCAACCACAGTTAATGTCTATTCCATTCGCATAAGGATAGACTATACGAGCAGCATCAGATAAAAGTCTTGCATCATTAGCAGCAAACTGAACAATCAGTGGGCAATCACCTGATAAAATGAATAGCTCATCATTAAAAGTCACAGGAAAAAAAATTTACACACACATACAAAATGATAAAAAAACTCTAACATCTGTACAGGATAAAATAACAAAATAACAGTAACTACTTTTAGCCTAAGAAGCACCTGTTCAAGTAAGATGGCACTGAAATAATTCTAAACATTTTAAATTAAAAGCAATTTATATTTAGTAAAAAGTTAAACAGTGCAAAATGTGATAAAATGAAAAGTAAAAGTTTTCCCATACTGTTGACAAACCATTTTCTCAAAGGTGAGAGTTAGTTTATTGTATCCTTCCAGAACAATTTTATTTTATACATAATTTAAACAAATATGAACGTTCTACATACACTGCTGTGCCCACTGATATTTTTCGTGACGTATCTGGGAGATGTACTCAGACCAATTTTATTCTTTTTAGTGGCTAATGTTCTACTGTACGTATACAATGTATGAAATTGTATAGTATAGTATTATAGTATACATAGTATTCTACCTCTAGATTGTTTTTCATTTGTGGCCCTTGCAAACAATGCCACAATGCAGGTACTATTACATACATGCTTTTGTGAGTATATTCATAGGGTAAATTCCTAAAAGCATTTAGCATTTTGATAATTAAAGAATTATCTTCCAAGAGGTTACACAACAATATGGATGAAAGCTCTTGTTTCCTTACAACCTATCCCATAATGTATATCCAATATGTATTTTTATTTGTGGGCTCTCTCTTCATAGTCTTTGTGCATTTTTTCATTATTTGTAAGTTTCTGTTATAAAATAATTAGTCCTGTTATTTCTATCATATCTGTTATGAATATTTTTTCCCAGTTTTTTGCTTGTCTTTGAGTATACATATATGTGGTCTTTTGTTATACATAAAAGCTTTAAGTTTTAGTACAGCCAAATGTATCAGAGCTTTCCTAGGTTTTAAAGAACAGCCTTTTCTCATCTTTGGGTCAGATGTTATAAACGTTGAGTAGATAAATTTTAATGTTTCTTAAAGTATTTCTTACTTTTCTGTATGACACTCACCAGATGTTTGCTAAAATGCAGATTTTGGGGCATCATTCTGGATGCACTGATTCAGGATGCCTATGGCAATCCACTAATTTACCGGATTTTGATAGGATAGAAGAATTTGCTTTTTCCTTCATAAGGATATAGGGTGCTTTCTCCTTTGTAACTCAGGAGAGTTATAATATCTCAACAACTATTTATTAGTCTAATATATTTTCAACACTGTGCTAGATGCTGAGGATACAAACTAATAAGAAATACCTTATCAAGGAGCCCATAGCCTAGTGGGAGAGACAGGCATATATAGAGGAAGTTATAGCGCAGTACGATTAAGTAAACAATGCAGAGCTAATGCTTAAGGGGGAGAATGTGAATGGAAGGTGATGAGGAAATGTTTCTTGGCCATAAACTTTGGACACTGGATTAAGAAGCATGAGCTATAGTTTGCCAGAGAGATCAGTATCTGGGATATAGGCATGAATGGGCAGGGCATTCTAGATAGAGAGGTGAGAGAACAGGGCATATTCAGGACTTAAGATAATTTAGTATTTTTGAAGAATAAAGTGAGTGGGCTGTGGGGAGGAGCTGAGGGAAGATAAGTCTGCAGAAAATGTATTCAGAGGCTAGATGATGAAGGACTTTGGCTATTATCCTCAGAAACTGAAATTTTATTCTTTAGGTCAGTGGTTCGTAACCTTTAGCAAGCTCAGAATCACCTGAGGAGCTTGCTGAAACACAGATTATTGAACTGCACCCCAGAGTTTCTGATTCAGTAGGTCTGGGGTGGAGCCCCAAAATTTCCATTTCTAACATATTTCCAGATGATTGTAATGCTGCTGGTCTGGGAATCACACTTTGAGAACCATTGCTTTAGGCAATGAGAAGTCCAAGAAGAATTTTAAGCATGGAAGAGATATGGTCAAATTTTCATTTTAGAAAGGTCACTATAGACTGTAATCTGTTCTAATAGTCCAGGTGAAAGGATGGGAGGCTTAGCAGAGGCTGATCTTACACTTTGCTCTATTATTGCTACATTCATAAGGTGCTCAGTAAAAACATTGATTGCATAATTTACTTCTATTTTGGAAAGTAAAACAGATGACTTTGTATCTGGAGTCAGTACTGTACACTAAAGATTTTGAAATAAAACCTCTGAATTGTGTTGTCTTTGATTAAATAAGAGTTGAGATTTTTCTTTTCGTTTTTAAAAAGTTTTACAAAGTCAGCAAACTGGGTTTCACATACCTTGGTTTGTGGTAAATTCACTGTCCCTGGCTTTTAGAGATCTGACAAAATCAGCAGCAACTATCATTGGTGTATAACACAGATCACAATTGTATTTTCTTACTAGTGTTCTAAAAGCCAACCTGTGAGCATATAAAATTTCAATTAGGCATTTGGAAAACACCATACTCATGTGTACTTCCAAATTTAATTTAGTTAATTATTTAATACTTATCAGGGGAGAGTTTTGCCTATAGGAGAATGGAATAGACATACTTACTCCTCCTACTAAGTATAACTAAAACTCTGCATAAACCCGTTAAAACCTGTTGGTGTCAAGTCAATTCCAACTCATAGCGACCCTACAGGACAGGGTAGAATTGCCTCATAAGGTTTCTAATGAGCAGCTGGTGGATCCGAACTGCCAACCTTTTGGTTAGCAGTCATAACTCTTAACCACTGTGCCACCAGGGCTCCTGGATAGTATACAAAAACAAACATAAGAAAATGACACACCTATCAGAATGGCTAATATAAAAAGCAATGACGCTACTTGGTAAGGATGAGGACAAACTGGACCACTAATACATTATTTGTATAATATGGTACAGCCACTTTGAAAAAGTTTGCTAGTTTCTTATTAAGCTAAACTTGCTTATAAAACTAAACTTGCAAGTACATGTGACCCAGCAATTATATTCCTAGGCATTTATCCCAGAGAAATGAAGACTTAGATGCACACAAAAACATGTACATGCATGTTATATCCATTTAATATCCACTATATCCTTGTAGGTGAGAGTTATAACCACCACCATTTTTATAGATGTGAAAAGTGAAGCTTGGAGAGGTTAACTGTCCTACTCATAGTCATACACATACCAGGCAAATGGTGGCAGCAGGACTCAAGCCTACATCATGATTTCAAAGCAGGGCATTTGAAGAACCCATGTGGTGGGGTGGTCTTAAACAGTACTTTTTAAAAAGTCAAAGCAGAAAAGGAAATCACGTCTCAGCTCATTATTACAGTACTTACTTTGAATATCGAACCATTGGGGCACAGACTTTTACCAGCCGTCCAGAGCAAAACATTTCAATTGGATCTTTTTTTCTTTCTTGGCATACTATGGTTTTTATGCAGTCACTCTTCATGAATATAGATTTGTTTTAGATCTGAAAAAGATAATCAGTTTGTACAGAGAAAATGTACTTTCACTAGATGAATTTACATTATTCTAACAATTTTGATTGCCAAGAATATATATTTTTCATCAGGCTCATGGGCTCAGGAATTTTTTTTAGCTTCTTTTTTGCAGTATGAAATAGGATGCTACATAATTCTGCCTCTATTTATAAGTTACTGACAGTTTTTAGCACAGTGTGAAACCATGACATTTGTATTCTGTACAAATGACACTGTTCATGTTGAACACAGTTTCAACTTTTATACTTCTTGCAATAACATTTTCTGTTCAAATAAATGAATGCTCAAGATGTGGAAAACTACAACATTTTTTCCTAGTAGACCATGTTATGATTTCTTCATGTTACTTTTCAATTTTTCCATGTTACTTTGTTTAGCATTGTTACACCAAGAAATTTGCTTTGAATCATTTCACTTATAATACTGTGTAGGCCCGGCACTTGCAAATATCTTGTGTCATCCAGGAAAGTTAAATGGCATTAGTAGAACACCTTTAAGTAGTTAGTGTTCTAAAAGATATCCTGTTATGCTTATTATTATTCTCAAATCCTATTCTTTGTATCTGTAAACCAGAAAGCAAAAACAAACAAAAAAAACCCTCTATTATTTTTTAAAACCTGAATGTGGTATTAACTAGTGAAAATTTCAATTACGATCATATAATTGTATAGTAATTCACTTGTTATACCCAAAAAGGTACAAGTGATGAACTTAGGTAGTCATACTTTGGACATGTTATAGGAGGGACTAGTCCCTGGAGAAGGATATCATGCTTGGTAAAGTAGAAGGTTAGCGAAAAAATGGAAGACCCTCCAAGATATGGACTGACACAGTGGCTGCAACAATGGGCTCAAGCATAACGATTGTGAGGATGGCGTAGGACCAGGCAGTGTTTCGTTCTGTTGTACATACGGTGGCTATGAATCGGAACTGACTTGATGGCACCTAACAACATAAGGGTTTATAGTTGCTATCCTAAAAATATTATCATTTTATAGTGATGGCTGTGTTCTATATTCCAATTTTTGGCCTTACTAACTTAGAAACAGATACAGACCAACTTTAGGAAGGTCTAAATGCTTAAAATGAAATTAAAAAAAAATTTTTTTTTTTGTGGCTAATACAGAAATTATTGATATAGTATAAATATACCTTATGAATTTCAATTTCCTTAGGTAGAACGTACAGCTAGATTAAGACAAACTACTGGAGTTTTACTGATCACATCAGTCTGACTTAATAAAAATTTAAAGTTGCTAGCTGCTTTTTTTTTTTTAATGAAAATTCATGATTAGAAGGATGTAAGCCACCTACATAAATAAAGTATAAGTACTAGAAAAGTAGTTTCTTCTTCATGAGTCAAATCCATTCCTTCTCTCTTGCATTTCATATCCTGGTTATGCTATCACCATCTGCTCACATTTACTCAAGTCAGAAAACTGGGGCCTGCCCTAGACTTCTCCATCTCCCACAAGTGCTTCATCCATGTAGTACCTTTAGCTAATTATTGAACACATCTTAATTGCCCCACAGTCTCTGTACTTATAATCCCACACCTTGATGACTCCAACAGCCTTCCCTGAATCCCAGATTGATCTTCCTCTTATTTACCTACAACACCCTGAACATGCCTCTGTTATGGTATCATCTGCATTTGTAATTATTTTTTAAAATAGTAATAATAACAACACATGTCTGTCTCCCCTGGAGTTTCTGAGGGTATGGACATGTTTTATTCATTCAACAAATACTGAGTTCCTGCTACATGTAAGGAATACAAATGAAAATGCATTTCATGCACCCTCAAAAATTAGGGAGTTAGACATAGTTACACAAAACAATGTAGTAGCTGCAATAGCCCTTGTAGTTCGCTATCAAGTTGATTCCAACTCATAGTGACCCTATACGACAGAGTAGAACTGCCCCATAGGGTTTTCTAGGCTATAATCTTTATGGGAGCACACCACCAGGTCTTTTCTCCCATAGAGCCACTGGTTGGTTCAAACTGCTGACCTTTCAGTTAGCAGCCAAGTGCTTTAACCATTGCACCACTAAGGCTTCCTATAATAGCTCTAATGAATATATGTATGTATGTGGGTGTGTGTGCATAAAAATAAAGAGGGAGAGAGAGATGCACTGTGGCAGAAGTCCTCAACAAAGGAGGAAGGTAAGCTTGAACTGACACTACGTGGGACAGGGGGGTGTCCAACTACAGAGAACACATATAAAGCTATAGAGGCATGAGATTGCTTTGTATTTCAGTGAACTATAAGCAGTTCAGTGTTTTTTGAGTTGTTACTAGACTAGAGAGGAAGGGAGGAGAACTAGGTAGGAATAGGTCTTATATATCATTTTAAGATTTTTTAGGTTTTATACTACAGGGCCTTAGATCTTAACCACTTTTCTTCCTCCATGGGTGATATTTACATACGCATGCAATATGCTAACATGTGCATATGACCTACTTTCATGGGCATACCGCATCTCTTTTTACATGTTTTATGTCTCTTCTTGTACACTAGTTGTAACTTTACCCCTTCCTTTCTATGATGTATTACTGTTAGGGAAATTATCCAATTAGATTTCTGATTTAGAAAGATGTGACTGAATGGGTTAGGGCTGGTGGCAAAATATCAGTAAGGAGGCCAGTAGAAGACCAAGCTATGGATAATAAGTATTTGACCTTGGACACTGGGAGTGAGGCTAGAGAGAAGGGAACACATTTAGGAGCTACTTAGAAATCAAAATTAACTGGTAAGATATTTAGGAGGTGGAAATCACTTGGTAACAACATATGTTATGTAGTGATAGAGAATTCTAGAATGACTTGTACACTTTTGGCTTGAGAGCACTGCCAATCAATTAGAGAGATTCAGGAGAAGGAATAGGTTTTGGCAGGGAGACATACATTCACATTTGGGCACAGTAAACTTGAGATGCTCATGAGATATCCAGGTGGTGATGCCTCATAAGTGGTTATATAGCTATGGGACTTAGGAGAAAGCTGGAGATATAAATTGAGAGTCTTTAGCCTTTAGGTAAAAAATTGAGGCTAAAAACATTGACAAGGCACTTAGGGATGCCATATCTTCCAAGAAATCCCTGGAAAGACCAACATTTAAGTCATAGAGGAAAAGGAGAATACAAAGGAGACTGAGAAAGAGGAACTCTGGAGCTGGGAGGAATAAACCTGAAAAGCGATATTCAAAAACCAAGAGAGGGGAATATTACAAAGTAGGGAGAGGATAAGCATCTTAAACATCACAGAAAAGTTATGTACGGTAAAGACTGAAAGTGTCCAATGGCAATTAGGTCATTTGTGACTTTAGCAAGAACAATTTCATTTTTATTCATTTTTATAGTCTTAGAACATAGCACAAAGAAGGCCTCTCTCAATAAATTATTTGCTGAATGAATAAACCAGTAGCTTTTAACTTTAGTTGTACATTAGAATGATCTGGGGAGCTTTTAAGAATCAGGATGCCCAAGCTATACTCCAGACCAATTAAATCCAAATCTGTGTGTGTTTAAGACAGAGGCATCAATGGTTTCTAAAGCTCCCCAGGTGATTTTAATGTGCAGCCAACCTTGGAATCACTGGAATGAGTAAATCCATTCACCCTATAGCACCTGGTACAATTGTTTGTTTAAATGACTAGCTACTTTGCTATTAGCTCCTTCAGGAAGGATTGCATCTTAGTCTGTAAACTCATGCCAGCATGTATAGTAGTGACTCAAAACTCTTCATGGAACGAATGAATATTATGCAACTCTTCTAGTCATCCAATGAAAAAGTCAAGAAAAGAAAAACAACCCATAATTTGACAATACTACTCTTCATTAACATTCAAGAATTATTAAAAACAAACTCATTTTGTGTATTATGGGTAATGAAAACCTAAGGTGAATCTGAGAACATGACCCTTGGCAATTTGTGTGACCTCCATTCATATCAGTACTATTCACATCATTACTGATATCAAATTATATTATGGAAAAACCTCTCAGACAACATCAAGAGAAAGAATAGTGCAGCGTAGCATGAGACTCACTCACCTATCTGGGTTGTTATGAGTATTAAATGCGTTTAGATTTATAAAGTACTTAGCACAGCGTTTGGCACAGAGTAAGGACTATTATACCTTGTAGAGATACTAACAGCAGTATCAAGAGAACCAGGTAACTCTGGAATTGGAAAAAACTAGTTCCTTGTTTACACACCTACTGTATAGAAACGAAAGTTATAGTTTCTTTATTTTTATGTGGAAATGCTTAAGACCTTCTGCATAAGTGTAGTGGATCTGTTACTTTATCAGTATTTATATTGGGAGAAATCTAGTATACTGGTCAATAATGCAGATGTATCAGCCAAGAAGATATAATAGGAACTAACTTGATTTTACAGCTTCAATAGCGTTAGTTGAGATACCGGCAATCCATCAATCTGCTACTAAGAAAAAATGTGGCGTCACTCAGCACATGGCTGAAACGGAGAGGAAGAGGTAAAAAAAAAAAAAAAAAAAAAAAAACATAAGGTTAAGATCTCACGGGAGGAATCGCAGAGATAGTGAATACCATCTTCATCAACTAAGCTTTCTCTATTCTCTTCACTATTCATCCTCTCCAACTTTCCTTCCAAACTTTTCCCGCCCGCCTGTACTCCAGGATTGCGTACCAAAGCGTGTGACAGGTGAAAGTGAGTAGCAACTACCTCCCGTCTGTTCTGAGTGGATACGAGCGAAGCTCCCTAAAACCTTCGCCCTTCTCTCCTGTCTTCTGCCATGAGGTCCCTGTTTGCCTAGGTTTAATACTTGCTTTCGAGAAAAGCGCTGCGGCCACGTTCAGCGTCCACCTTCTCCTCGGCGAGGGGAACGATGCCAACCCTAGCCGTACGGCTCAAAGCGGCAGCAAGAGGCGGAAGAAAGTTCCAACCGGGCGCCCTCGGCACCCGCCCCCTCCTGGACCCACGCGGGTTCCAGCTAGGCTCTGTCCAACCACGGTCGCCGAGTTGAGTCGCCAGGCCTGCCAGGGGCGGAGCGGACGGCGCCAGGATTTTGCGTCACCATCTGGGCCGGGTCCCTGCTGACGCCATCAACCCCGCACCTGCCAACATGGAAGGTGGCGACGGCGGCGTCGCCGTTGCTGGCCTTGGGGCTCTGGGCTCTGGAGCGGCTGCAGCGACAGTCCGGGAGATTCTGCAGGACGGTAAGAAGTCAGGGTCCGGCCGGATCGTGGGCCTGGGGTGCTCTCCTGCTCCGCACTTGGGTCAGGGTGATGGCCTCAACCCGTTGCTTTGCAGAAAGTTTTCCGGTCTCGACGTGACCACTCCCCTCTGCCTGGCCCTCTGGCGTCCGGGTTCGAGCCTCGCCGACCTATTTCCCTAGAGACTCACTGCTCCCTTCCTTCTGGATGTTTCGGGGACGCCAGGTTTCTGCTTGCCGCTCATTTCAACTGCCCCCGCTCCTCCACGTGTCCAGGGCTTCCCTGAAGTCCTGACACCCCGCACCTGATGGCCCACGTTGGCAGCCACTGGCTGTTTCCGCAGTTCTTGACCAGAGGGTGAAGCGGTCGATCCCATGAACTGTGTAAGACCAAGAACAGATGATAGACACTTTATGAAAGAAGGTCTCGTTTTTCAGTTGGAGACACCGCTCCGTTACTTAGACTATACAGGTGGCCCCCCTTTTAGACTTGTTTTTTTTTTTTTTTTTTTACGAGGCAGTTATCCACAACTAGACATTGGAGGGTTCACAGCATTCGTTCAGATTGGGATTAACCATTTGTATCGAATATAGCAGTCAGATTTATTGGTAGTTTTGGACAGAAGTTGCCCGAAATAAGAAAATACGTTAAATATAGTACACTTGAAAATCACATTAAATTGTATTAATCCAGTTAACATGTCTCAAGCCTCTCATCCCTAAGAATAAAGTTCAGATTTCTAAGGATAAAAATAAACTCCCTTCTCACCTATCTTATTTTTTTAAATTTCCCTAACCACTGTCACATTCTGTCTTGTATTAAAATCATTCGTATACTTGCCTAACTCTTCTACTGTACTGTAAAACCCCTTTACATATTGTACAATGTTAATAACCAAATCTTGCATACAGTAGGTGTAGAGTGAATGTTTTTGAATTGAACATCACAGTAAGAAGCGTATGCACACATTTATAGACCAAAGTGGGTTCTAAATGAATAAAGTTCTAAATTATTATTTGTTTTCTCTGGGTGTTGTATATTTCATCATTGCTCTTAATAACTTTCCCCCTTGTGGTAATTTATATACTTTGTCAAAATTTAACAGTAATTTTTCTGAACTAGATTGTGTGAAGTTCTCTAGGTTAAAGTCCCTGTTTGATGCGTCTTTATATCTCAACTTAAATTCAACTTAACCACGTTCTTCTGAGCTGATACATGTGCAGTTCCTGCCCTTAAGTAGCTCACCATCTAGTGGGGCAAACAGTCTTGTAGAGCTATAAAAGTAAGCACTGAAATACAGTGTTGTAAAGGTCACAGCCTGGAAAACTGTGGAGCAATCTACTCTGGGGTTGCCACAAGTCAGAATCTACTGGATGGGCAACTAACAACAAGGGTAGCAGTAGACTTGCTAGGGGCTGGAGGATGGGCAATGGTCAGAGTCCCTGGGTGGCTCAAACAGTTAAGTGCTTGACTACTCACCAAAAGATTCGTGGTTCGAATCCACCTAGATGCGCCTCAGGAAAGGCCTAGTGTTCTGCTTCTGAAAGATCCCAATCATTGAAAACCCTGTAGTGTGTGCGTTTCTACTATGAAACACGCTTGCCGTGAGTTGGAATCAACTATACGTAACTGGTTTGGTTTTTTGGTTTAGGGGATGCTTAGGGAGTGTTAGGAAAGATTTTCTAGGTGGAGGTGGTTTTGAAGTGTAAATGGGACTTCTCCAGGTGAACAAGGGGCAGGAACAACACATACCAAACGTGTACATATAACAGTAGGATGCATTGCAAAAATTGTAATCAGTTTTTGAAGGGTAAATAATCCTCACTTGTGCCTTCTATTTAGTTCTCTTTCCCATTATTTAAATCTTTTCTATTCAAAACTGATTCTACTACCTTTCCCTTCAATCTCAACAAATGACTTTAATCTTACCTAAAAAAAATAGAATCCATCAGATGTGAATTTATGTTTCTTGCCATCAAACTTATAACATAAACTTGCAACCACTCCCCCCGCCCCCTGCCCCCGGCCTCCCCATATTTTCAATTACCATTGAAATAGAATCTTTTCTCCTTCCTGAGGCCAGTCCCTCCTCATATGCTCTGGATTCTCTCTTGTCTCCTCAGGGACTCCCCGCCCTGCCCCATTCTATGCCTTTGAAATACTTTTGCCAATGTCTGCACTGACTTCCTTGTGGATAACTCAAACGGACAATTTTGGTCCTTATCTTACTTCTACTCCTAATAGTGTTTAACTCCTTTTCTTGAAATACTTCCCTCATGTGGCTTACGAGTTCCATGCTTTCCTTTATTCCTAATTCTCTAGATGCTTCTCCAGTTTCCTTTAGATGCTTGTCTTCTTCAGTTTGCCCCTAAGTAGGTGGTTCACATTCCCGTAACATTCCTGAGGAATTAAACATTCCCGAGGAATTAAACATTCCCATCAGTAATAATGAGTTCACTATGTCAGGGATTTGCCAATGGCAGAGGATAGGATTGGCAGGGTTAATTGGCAAATACATAGTTTTGAAAATTTGTGAGGCCTCCTTATGGGAATGAGGAAACTATAAAAGAGAGGCATTATATGACTTTTAAAGACTATCAGCCCTCAAATGCCAAATCTAATGGCTAGTATTCAACCTTCATTGTATTTTACCCTTATAGAGTCTTTGACGCTACTGACCGCTTAACTTTCTTGAAACTGTTCCTTCTTTTCCTTTTGTCATTCTCCTGTTTCTCTTCATTTCTCTCTGAGCACTCCTTAGTCCCTTATTGCCTTCATTTCTGCTGTCTTCTTCTAAATTTGTGGTGTTTTCCTGGCTTCTGAGTCCTATCTCCCCCACCTGCACCCCCTTTTTGCATTCTAAAATTTCTTCCTAAATTGTCTGGTCTCTTTTCATGGTTTCAGAAATAATATCTATACACACAAATACATGTATGTGGTTCTTACCTCCCTTCTGAGCTATGTTGTTAGTTGCTGTCAAGTTGATTCTCTCTCATGGTGATTCCATATGTGCAGAGTAGAACTGCGCCATAGGGTTTTCAAGGCTGTGACCTTTGGAAGCAGATAGCCAGGCCTGTTTTCTGAGGTGCTTCTAGTTGTGTTCGAACTGCCAACCTTTTGGCTAGCTATATTTTTTTAAATTAATAATATATTTTACATTTTTCAACTGTTTACTGCACATTTCTAACCTGATAGTGAACAAGCAGTACTAGTTATACATAAGAAAACCTATATATGAACAAATAGTACAAGTGCTACAAGCTAAGCAGTGAAATGAATTCATTTTTTTTTTTTTTTACCTCTCTCCACTAACTCTTCTTCCTCTAGTTATATGTAGCTAGTTAGATATGTACTTATTTTCCCCACACAGATTGTGAGTTCCTTGGAGGCAAGGGTCAATTCATGTTTATCCTGGTGGCACAATGTTTAAGCACTCAGCTGCTGATGAAAGGTTGGTGGTTCGAACCTACCCAGTGGCTCTGTAGGAGAAATACCTGGTGATCTGTACCCTTGAAGATTACAGCTTAGAAAACCCTCTGGGGCAGTTCTATTCTGTCCCATGTGTCACTATCAGTTGAAATCAACTCGACAGCACCTAACAACAACAAGAAATTACATAGCTTGATGCAAATCTGAATTCCCTATGTCAGTCAAATTAATCAAGAAACTTGGGAATCATCTTTGACGTCTTGCTCTACCTAATCACCCATTTGCAGCTTATCACTGAGTCCTACGCATTATGCCATTGAATATTTGTGACATTCTTAGTGCCACTGTCTTAGGTCCCCTTCATCATATCTTACTTGGACTGTTAACATACTACCTTACTGGTCTCTCTGGCTCTGCTTCAGGGGTGTGTTGGTAAACCAGCTTTCTGGGAAAATAGGACAAGCCCTGATCTTGTAGTATTTGCTGATTTCTGTGGTGTAAATACCTGTACCATGGTCAGTTTTAACACCTACATGTGATATCAGCCAGCTCGCAAAATCCCTGAAAATTTAACAGATGACTCTGGAGAGTCAGTATGAGCCAGCTCCCACACACCACTGCGTGTCTAATCCCTTTTCAGTCATCCTCCACACTGCTGCCAGAGTTACTCTTCTAAAACACAAAGCTAACTGTGCTCATTCTCGGTTTTAAAACCTTAAATGGGATATATTCTGAACTTTTTGGATGTCTTATAGGATTCCTTCCAAACTGCCCCTGCCCCCCTCCCCTGCCTTCTTTTGGAGTCCAATCTATCATTCTGCCCAACATACACACACTATGATCTAGACATACTGAGGTCAATATTTCTTTTACTTCTCAAAATATGCCATGGCATTTGCTGCCTGTAAACCTTCCTTCAGTTTGGAATGGCCTTCTCCACTTGTCTGCCTGGTAGAATCCTTAATTCTGAGAACCACTTGGAAAACACTACGTTTTGAGAGCAGTCAAGAGTTTGAATCTTTGCTTTTAGCAGGATGGTACTTCTAGCTGATGTATACTGAAACCAGACCAAACTCTGCTGTCGAGTCGATTCTGACTCATGGCGACTCCATGTGTTACAGAGTAGAACTGCTGTGTGGGGTTTTCTTGGCTGTAATCTTTACAGAAGCAGATTTCCAGTTCTTTCTTTCATGGCACTGCTGGGTGGGTTCGAACCACCAACATTTAATTTAGTAGTCCAGCATAAACCTTTTGCATCAACCAGGGACAGCAAGCTGATGTATAGATTAATTAAATCATTCAACAAATATCGAGCACCTGCCATGTGTCAGGTATTTTTCAGGCTCTGGAGATGTAGTAGTAAACACAACGAAGATCTTACTTTCGTGGAAGATACACTATAGTGGATATAGACCACTGACGTTTTCTTATAAGTACTTTATTTTGTTTGTTAGTTTTGTAATCCCTGTAAGGGCAGCCTTATCTATATCTAACATGGTTATAAGGTTGTGGTATATATCTACGTTGAGCTCACTTCGAGGTATCTGTTTTTAACTTTTAAATCTCTCCATTTTTCTTTCATCCACAGATTAGTGGATTTCTATATAGAAAAATATCTTTGTACCGTCTAGTATCACTTCTCTTTCTTGTCTATTAAAGATCTAGTTTGAAGACAATTTCTTTTTCCATTGCCTCATTTCACCCATGAATCTGAAATTTCAGTAATATCTATAAGTTTATATTTGCCTATTTCTATTAAAATTCTGAATTTATTAATTAACAGTATTTGTATGTTGATGTAAAGATATCTGAGGCCATAGATACTGTATGTAGCTAATTTTCCTGTTATCTTCTCATTGTCGAAGACCTTGTTTTCTTAGGGTAAAGGTTACCTTTTTATCTATTCCTCAATCAATGTTTTCCTTCCTTTTGGTACACTGAAAAAAGTTAGCGTTTAGCAGTCTAGCATAGAGATTCAGCGTGTGGGCTTTGCACCGGGTTCAGATCCTAGATTGTGACCTTGGAGAAGTTGTGTGACCTGGCTTTGTCTGTTTCCTCTGTGAAATGGGGAAAATGATAGTTCTTGCAGGGTTATTGTGAGGATTGAATGAGATAATATGTGTAAATCGCTTAGATCATTCCCTGGCACACAGTAAACTCTCAGTGAATATTACCACTTCTTTTCTGCTACTACCTCCTCTTTTTCCTCCTCATTATTACAGGAAGCATTTACAACAGTTCTTAGCATATGGGTAGACTGCCATTGCCTCACATGTGTGCAAAAGCTGGAAAGTGAATGAGGAAGACTGAAGAAGAATTGATGCCTTTGAATTATGGTGTTGGCGAAGAATGTTGAATATACCATGGACTGCCAGAAGAACGAACAAATCAGTCTCGGAAGAAGTACAGCCAGAATGCTTCTTAGAATGAGGATGGTGAGACTTCGTTTCACGTACTTTGGACATATTATCAGGAGGGACCAGTCCCTGGAGAATGACATCGTGCTTGGTAAAATAGAGGGTCAGCGAAAGAGAGGAAGACCCTCAACAGGATGGATTGACAAAGTGGCTGCTACAATGGGCTCAAGCATAGCAATGATTATGAGGATGGCGCAGGACCGGGCAGTGTTTTGTTCTGTTGTACATAGGGTTGCTATGAATCGTTCTGACTCGATGGCATCTAACAGCAACAACAACAAAATATGTTAGCTGTGGTTACAATTGTTCTGTCATTTAATATCTGTGGTTTGGTACTGTGTAATTAAGGACTTTCCCTTGTTTTTTCCTCCTCCCTCCAGAGTGTTACAGTGACTTTTTAAATGAAGACTTTGACGTTAAGGCTTATACTTCCCAATCTATTCATCAAGCTGTAATTGCTGAACAACTGGCAAAACTTGCCCAAGGAATCAGTCAGTTGGATAAAGAACTACACCTACAGGTAATTTTAATCTTCTGGATCATACAGATAATTCAGCTTAAAATGATAGTTTAGCATTTTTATAATCTTATTGTGGTTTAATCTAAATGCATGTTTACATGAACAAGTGCACACGTTACCAGTGTGGCATATTTTTAAAGTGCATTTTTGAAAAATTTTCTGTAAACTACTTTTGTTAATTGAAAAACTAATATACTCACATCTCCAAGACCTCATATTCATACTTCTCTTTTACTAACTTAACTGATACTCAGTGAATATAATGGGCAGAAAATAGGATGTCTTTGATAAAGATAACAGAAAATAAATTTTGGGAGTTGAGTAGTGTGAATAAGAAAAATTGGGATGTTCACCTTGGCAGGTCATACCTTATGAGCAAAAGTAGCATTTGCTGAAATTAGAAAGAGTCAATAAATGTTGTGATGGAGAGAACACAGTATGGGGAGTTACGAGATGAGCCCTAATCTCAGTTGTGCTGTTAGCTAACTTTAATGTCACTTAATGTCTGTGAGTCTTGGGTTTTTTTTTTTAATCTATCAAATGGATTGAAGTGAATAAGGGGAAGAGGTGACTGGAGTAGATGATCTTGGTCTTCTAAGATTCTATGATTTTTATAGGGTGATTTTATTGTATACTTCCTAGTATTACCTTTTGTCTGAGTAAGCACTTAATAAATCTGTAAATGAATAGAACACATTTCGTAGCTCTACATGGACTCTCAGACCAATGGTAGATGCATACAGAAATAATGACAGGCAAGTAGTACCTGTTTTAAATAGAACAGTACAAGGTGTGTCTGGGAGCAGGGTAGACTGTACTTAACTCCACCTAGGGCTCTCGGGTTATCATCTTTTTTATTTCCAAGTTGTCTTCTTGCAAGAGCCACCTGAAGTTCTTTCATACCTTTTATGCTTGGTATTTTCTTTATTCCTAGCATGGAGTAACTTCGAAATTAGCACCTTCATCCATTGTTGGTGGAATTGTAAAATGGTGCAGCCACTGTGAAAAACAGTTTGGTGATTCCTCAAGAAGTTAAACATAGAATTACCATATGACCCAGCAGTTCCACTCCTAGGAATATACCCAAATGACTTGAAAGCAGGAATGCAAACAGATACTTGGATGCTAGTGTTCACTGTAGCATGATTCACAATAGCCAAATGGTGGAAACAAGTCAAATGTCCATCAATAGATGAATGGATAAACAAAGTGTGGTCGTTATGGATTGAATGTGTCCTCCCAAAATATATGTTGAAGTCCTGGCCCCTGTACCTGTGAATGTGATTCTGTTTGGAAAGAGGGTTTTTCTTTTGTTATATTAATAGGGTGAGTCCTAAACCTAATCACTTCTGAGTTACGGAAGAACAGAATAGACACACAGACACACACAAGGGGAAGACAGATGCCAAGGAATGCCAAGGGATACTAAAAAATGCCAAGGAGCTCCCAGGGCTACCAACAAGGAAGGACTCTTCCTTAGAGCTAGTACCCTGATTTGGACTTTCTAACTTCCTAAACTGTGAGAAATTCCTGTTCTTTAAAGGCACCCACCTGTGATACATTTTGTTAAGGCAGCAATAAATAAGATGGTAATATATATATACAATGGAATATTACTCAACCATAAGGAGGAATGAAGTTCTGATACATACTATGACATGGATGAACCTTCAAAACATTATGCTAAGTGAATAAGTCAGACATGAAAAGACAAACATCATATGATCCCACTTATATGAATAGGCAAATGCATAGAGACCAAAGTTAATTAGTGGTTACCAGGGACGGTTGGGAGGGAGAAGGGAAGAGTTATTGCTGAAGGGCACTAGGTTTATGTTAATGGTAGTGAAAAAATTTGGAAACCGATAGTGGTGATGCTTGCACAACATAGTGAACGTAATTAATGCCACAAAATTGTAAACATCAAAATGGTTGAAATGGCAAATGTTTTCTTATATATATTTTTACCTCAGTTAAAATGAATGATGAAGAACTTAATGTTTATTGAACATCTTTAGAGGGGATTGGCTACACTTATAGTAAATAGCCTTGGGTGTGAGGCAGAGGAAGTCTCTGAGTCCTAATATGAAATCTAAACCTGCTATCATTTGTGTTCTGCAGAAGCAAAAGTGGGGTAATAGTAACCAAATCCATAATTAAAATATAATAAAAATAATTTAAGAATATCAGTAAGGTGGTTAAAATTGCAAAAGATTTATTCAATTATGTATTAGGGCTCAGTTCAGGAAGCAGAAACCATTGTAGATGTTTAAAGCAGGAAGATATTTAATACAGAGAATTAAATGCTTGTGAAATCATTGGGTGGGCTAAAGAGTTGAAGAAACTACTATAGATGAAATCTAGCTCCTGCTGTTTCCTCCCATGCAATGTTAAAATTATGCTGCTAGATATCTGGTGACTAAACACTGGAGTAATCATACTATGGCCATCATACTGATCTTATGATCCCAATATGTCTGTCTTAGTCTGGAAGCTCTGCTGAAACCTGTCCACCATGGGTGACCCTGCTGGTATTTGAAATGCCGATGCTATAGCTTCCAGCATCACAGTAACATGCAAGCCACCACAGTATGACAAACTTAAAGACAAGTATGGCCACCACAACTGTCTCTAAATCCTCAGTTTCAGGGCCTTGCTTACTAATTGCAACAGTGATAGGAAGATAGCTTTCATCTCTCTTCTGCCTTCTGAATCTCTTGGAAACTCATCTAATTGGGGCAAGAGAGTCTATGAAAGTAGTTTAGGTTTCAAACCTTTTGAAAGTATTTACCACAAGGGAAAAAAAAGAATAGAGAATTAAAGAAAATTTAGTCTTGTTAGGATTGACACATTGATGACCATATCGATAGACTGGGCAAAATACATCTTCTGGAAACCTTAAGGATAAAAGACATGGAAGACATAATTTTAGATGTCTATGATAGAAAGTGACTCCTATGAGTTGGAATCGACTCGACGGCAGTGGGTTTGGTTTTTTTGGTATGATAGAAAGAGACTTGATACAATGGCAGTGAGATCTGAAACAGGAGAAAGTGGAGAATGTAGGGGTTCCAGTGAATGAACCCTTATTGATTAGGGACTTCAGTTTATAGACTAGACAGGAAACTTCTTATCCGTTGGAATAAAGGGTACAAATAATGATTCTTGGGTTATTCTAAAGATTTGCATGGTTTTGTGGTGTTCTTGGGAATCTCTTGCATGTAACTCTTAGCTAGTTTTATGTTTTGTTTTGGCCATTCACAGTGTCCTACTTTTCATAGAAATAGCAGTCTTCTACAGGGAAGAGGACCTGCTGTGACACTGGGAAACTGGAAGCGGAGAGATGTTCAGGGATAGGTGGACACCGGCTCTGCTTTGTCTTTTCAGATTAGGATGTGGCCTTGATGATGCTCCCCTAGGATTAAGAACTAAGAGAAGCTGATGTTTGGAAACATTCTTTTAAGGGAAAGGATATATATTGTTAGTGTAAGTTCTAGGATAATGAGTAAGCCTGAATAATAGCGTGGCAAGAATTAGCTGTTTTTTTTTGATTTTTGATACAACTCTGCCTGTACCATCCTGCACATCCCATCAGGAAAGCAAGGGACTAATGAAAAGACTATACCTCCTCCTGCTCTCTCATTTTCACTAGATTCTGTATTTTTAGCTAAATGAATCATGTACTATAAATGTGTGTGTATGTTCCTGGTAATAACATCTCAAATACAACTTCAAAACCTGCATTTTTTTTCCTTTTGTTTAGTATTTCCCCCACTGATACACAGGGGAGAGCCCTTCAGTTCTACATTGTGGTTATGGAGAAAAAATTCCTAATGTTGATTAGAGGAAATGTTGATTATTCATCTTGATTTTCAGGTTGTTGCAAGACATGAAGATTTACTGGCACAAGCAACTGGGATTGAGTCTTTGGAAGGTATATTTTCATTAACTATTATAGATTATTTAGAGCTAGACCAGGGGTTGGCAAACTTTTTCTATTAAGGGTCAGATAGTAAATACTTGAGACTTTGAGACCATAGTCTTTGTTGCAACTACTCAACTCTGCTATTGTAGAGGGAAAGCAGCCAGACAATACGTAAATGAATGTGTGTGACTATATTCCAGTAAAACTTCAATAAAACAGATGGTGGATCGTACTTTGCTGACCCCTGAGCTAAACTACCTAGGTACAGATCCTTGCTCTGCTACTTACTAATTATGTGACTTTGGGCAAGTTACTTAAACTTTCTGTGCCTCAGTTCTTCCATCTGTAAAACAAGGGTATTAGTATGTACTAACATTGTGTTATTCTGAGGAGTAAATGAGTTAGTAAAACTCTTAGAACAGTACCTAGCACTTATTTAGTGCTACTATAAGTGTTTGTTAATTAAAACAACAACAGACATCACTGTTGTGGAAATAGGCTTGAGTTCTTTCCTTATTTTCACCTTTTTTTGAGCCTTTCTTTGCAACTTATTTCAATGAAAGTAGAATAACAGTACATTGGATTTTTATTTTTATGAATCTTTTTATTTATGTTATTTTGTTTTATTTTTCTCTATTTTTATTATTGTACTTCAGATAAAGGTTTACAGAACAAACTAGCTTTCTCATTAAACAGTGCATATATTGTTTTATGACGCTGGTTAACAAACCCACGACATGTCAGTACTCTCCCTTCTCGACCTTGGGTTCCCTATTACCAGCTTTCCTGTCCCCTCTTGCCTTCTAGTCCTTGCTCCTGGGCTGGTGTGCCTCTTTAGTCTCGTTTTGTCCTATGGGCCTGTCTAATCTTTGGCTAAAAGGTGAATCTCCATAGTGACTTTATTACTGAGCTGAAAGGGTGTCCGGGGCCCATACTCTTAGGGTTTCTCCAGTCTCTGTCAGGCCAGTAAGTCTGGTCTTTTTTTGAGTTGGAATTTTCTTCTACATTTTTCTCCAGCTCTTTTGTGATCCCTGTCAGAGCAGTCAGTGGTGGTAGCCAGGCACCATCTAGTTGTACTGGACTCAGTCTGGTGGAGGCTGTGGTAGTTGTGATCCATTAGTCCTTTGGACTAATCTTTTCCCTTGTGTCTTTCGTTTTCCTCATTTTCCCTTGCTCCCAAAGGGGTCAGACCAGTGGAGTATCTTAGATGGCCGTTCACAGGCTATTAAGATCTCAGACGCTACTCACCAAAATAGAATGTAGAACATTTTCTTTATAAACTATGTTATGCCAGTTAAGCTAGATGTTTCCAGAGACCATGGTCCCCACATCCCTTATCCCAGCAATTCGATCCCTCAGGGAATTTGGATTTGTACTTGGAGGTTCCATAACCTTACCCTGAACAAGCTGTGCTGGCTTCCCCAGTATTGTGTACTGTCTTACCCTTGACCAAAGTTACCACTTATCTATTGTCTATTTAGTGTTTTTCCACCCCCACCCCTCCCTTCCCTTGTAACCATCAAAGATTGTTTCTTTTTGTGCGTAAACCTTTTCATGAGTTTTCATAGTAGTGATCTCAGACAATATTTGTCCTTTTGTGATCGACTTATTTCACTTAGCATAATGCCCTCCACATTCATCCATGTTGTAAGATGCTTCCCAGATTCATCAATATTCTTTATCTTTGCGTAGTA